ACCAATGGCCACCATTTGCGTAACGTAAGAGTTGAAATTATCTCTACTTTTAAGTTTGGCCATTGGTTTATACAGCACTTCCTGTCTTAACGTATGGCCTTACCTTACGTTAATTCAGTTTGCAGTGTAAATCGGCCTTTACACTGGGTCTGTAGTAATATGGTGTATTCAGGTGATAGCTCCTTACCTACAGTCCCCAGGTGCAATGTTGTGTTGGAATTGTTTATACAATAACAATTCCACATCACACTTGTGTGGTGTGATGTGGATTATTATAATACTGTTTGAAAAAGCCAAGGGCAACCCAATCGAACAACAGAATCTAATTAATTAGACTAATGATGTCATAATCCATTAGATAGTGAATTGATACCCTGGAATATGGAGCCAGATAAGGCAGCAGTAGATCAGTCCTTGCACGTGGGCCACTGGTGGGTGGGTCTTGCCACTCTACGCGTGAGATCCTAGGTGAATGCTATATGATTCTGATCTCCCACGCATGTGCACAACTGTACTGTGTGGGTATGCAAGTGGGTTGCTACATTTGCATACTGCCCAGTGCCCATGTCATGCAGTGGGAACGTGGGCGGTCAACCCAAGCGAGGATGGCCCCTACTGATTAACTCCATTTAAGCCATTGCCCTAAATGACAATAATTCTCAAACTATTTATTCTTACATTCATAATCAATTTCAAAAGGTGTGAACAATCTAATTCTAATTAGCTAATTCATAATTATTCATGAAAACCAAAGTACCTATTATTAATACTTCCTAAGTGTTGAGTCCAACTAATGAATAATCACTATTGGTAGTGGCTTGTGTGATTTAATCATTGTCCTCTTATAATCTTTAAGAGTATCTTTCAGGAGAGGAGGAGTGTGTCCAGCATTAATCTCAATATATTCAAGTGATGGATGGATGAAGATAGTTTCATATAAATGTTGTACTAGTTCTTTCCAGTTAGGTTGAGATGACTCTTTATTAATATATTCACACTCTATCCTCAGTAGTCTGATGGTTATATGTGACTGTAACATTTTAGTAACAGCAGGTAGTCCCTGTTCATAAAACAATGGTGTCATTATTTGTTTCTTCTTTTCCCACTTACTGTATGACTGATCTGGTTTGAAGTTCACTTTAAGTTCTGTGAGATTGTTCTTTTGAGAGATGACATTAATAAAAGTTCTTATCTCTTCATTCAGTGGAAGTGGAATGGATACACTCAACTGCTGTAGACTGGTGTTGTGTCTGAGACCAGTTGTTAGGAAGGACAGGAATGAACTGGGAATGTATTTAATATCAAACGCATCATTAATCTTAAGGTATTTCAGTGTTTGGTTTTGTGTTAGCATGTCTTGTAGACTAGTACCCATACTGCTGGTATATACTCTCTTCTCCATATCCACTATCTTCACTCTCAGAGCTCTAAGTGTAGTATTGGTTTGTAGAATAGTAAATAGTTCAATAGCACTCTCAGGTGTGTCTAGTGGTAAAGTAAGTGTATGTAGACTGGGATGAGAGAGAAATAGAAGATGTGGTAGGTATGGATCATGTAGTATCAGACAGTCTAATCCTTTGATATGTGGAAGAAGTGATGATGTCATCAGTTCACTACTCCTCCACCACAATCCTCTTCCTATCTCTAGAGCAGTCAGTGGTGTGTTTACCTCTACTATATTCAGTGATGATGGTAGAAGTTCATCAGTTATGTCCAGTGAAAGAGCTCTTAATGTGTTGTTGTCCTTTAGTAACTGCTCTATTACTCCATCAGGTAGAGGAGGAGGAGCAAGTACATGTATTGTTAATGATGTTATTGTTTTATTCCTAGTTATTCCTCTAATGACACTGATAATGGTAATTGTTGTTTCATCCCATCCTCTATATTCAATCTTCATTTCTTGTAGTGTTGAATTTGTTTCTATACATTTCTCAAGTTCAGTGCACTTGTCTGTGTAGCATGTATTGTCAACTGTTGGTATAGTAGGGTCATCCATTCTTAAGTGCAATATCTTCAATTGAGGAAGATTGAGGAACTGTAAGAATACAAGACAGGGAACATATTTACCATATGATATATCACAGTAGCACTCCTGAATATTGTATAGAAGCGATGATTGTAATAATTTGTGTATTAATTCATCAGTGGGTTTATCCAACCTTACCTCCAGTCCCTTACACTGGGTCTGTAGTAATATGGTGTATCCAGGTGATAGTTCCTTACTTGTCCCCAGGTGCAATGTTGTGTTGGTATTTATACAATAACTGAGACACAACCAGTCAAACAATGATAATGATAATGATACTCTATCTCTATCCAGACACAGTGAGTGGTTGTTGATGGATTGTGTTAATACTTGACATAATGTTGTGTTCTGTGATTCATACAGGAGTTGAAGAAGAAGAATGGAAACATTGTCAAAATCATCAGATCTGATATGATCATATTCTCCAAGTCTAATCTCAGGATTTTGATAGAAGTAGGAGAGATGACAAGTCTCAAATCCAAACAATGGTTCCCTCTTACACTGTAAGTCAAGTTGTTGTTTATTAAAATACTGTTGATAGCTCTCATGTTCAAGGCTAGTTAGACCTGCCACAAACCTCAGACACATTCGAAAGTGATCATCATCAAAGTGATCCTTAAACACTACCTCTGTCTTCTTCTCCTGCTTAGCTATCCACCATGCAGCTAGAAATTCCTGTATACTCAAGTGAAGGAACTGATACTTCTCCTCATCATATTCTGTGAATCTTGTCATCAATCCAAGATAGTCTTCCTTGACTGCCTCACTCAGTGACTGTAGTTGATGTGAAGAGAATGTCATTCTCGTATTAGCCAGGTTAGTATAAGCTAATTGACACATCTCTTGTAAAGGTTTAGCTAATTGTGATGGTAATGAAGAAAGACTACCTAAAGTATGTGGGTTAATGTCATGTCTTTTAACATGTCTTCTGATAGTTTGTAGGATAAAGTTCTCATAGAGTTGAGTGAGTGTTGTTGGTAAGTGTCCTCCTTCCTTATAATAAACTAAGATGACCATGGAACAGACTAGTGGTACATAACACAATGATTGGACATCATTTCGTACTTCAAGATCATTAATGAGTTTCACTGCTAGTTGTGAGTCCTTACTGCTTTGAGTAGTTGTGAAATGTGATTTATACTTTGCATATTCTAGTCTCCATTCTTCTCGTTCAGTGTTTTCATCAATGAGTTCTTGTGCTAGTTTTGTATCTTTTTGAAGTGTTTGTATAATTACTGTTGATATTTCTTCCTTAGAAAACCCAATGACCTGAACATGTTTACTGAGAGTATCCATTTTCAAAAGTGAAGATGAGGCATAGCTACGAGATGTAACAATTACTGAACATTGGTCTAACTTCTCTTTACAAATGATACTAGCAGCAAATGAAGACTGTCTGAGTTGTTCACTTAGTTCATCCCATCCATCAAAGATTATCAGTAATCCTTCTCCATTCCTCTTCTCAAACCATTCAGCTACCATGGGAACTTCATAGCGTTGACGCACAAACAGGTCAGCTAGTGAAGTAGCCGTAGCTATCTTGCTATTCCTTAAAGGACAGTAAAGTACCAAGTCATACTGTTGGTGTACAAGTAGTTTATTAGACCACATATTTAACAGTTTACGACAGAGTGTGGTCTTCCCAATGCCAGGAGGACCGTCTATAACTACTCTAAGTGACAGAGAACTATCGGTGGGTTTGAGAACATCTTCAACACTTGTCTTTTTGTTTTCATTTAGCTCAACTGTTTTATCAACTTGTCCTCTTAGCATATGCCAAGCTGATTCTGCTTGTGTGCTGGAGTCTTGTTTTTCTACTAGTGCTAGTCTTCCATAGAAATCTTTTCCAATTCTTGGTGGCCAGTCTGTAGCAACAATAGGTTGGTGTTTGTAGTGTTGTCTCATATTGTCAGCATATCCTTGAACATCATCAGGTATTGAACTAATGGATGTGACATTATCAGGTATAGACTGACCTAATGTATTGAGATATAATGACTATATTGATCACCGATAATGTACACACACACACTCACCTAACTGGTGTAATATAGAGGTAGCAATATCTGTTAGTGTATGATGTTGTTGGTTTATTAATGAACGACACATTTCAGTTAGGTACTGCTCTGGATTAAGAGAGGATTGCAACTGTCCACGTAATACATTCATCAGTTTCATTGCTTTAATATAATCAGTTATAACTCCCATTACAAGTACATCATCAACTGCTTGTTGTGGTATCAATCTTTTAGCATGTAATTCAGTTGTTATTTCATAGAGATTGGTTGATATTTTTCTAGTGAGTTTACTGGAATAAGTCCTTAATATATCCTTTGGATTACCTGCAGTAGTGTATCAGTTAATGAGTGTTGTACTAAGTGTATGTTTACCTGTTATAGGACCAGGATTGAGTTCAACATCTCCTGATAAGAGGAGGAGCATACGTAGACAAACAATCAAATAAAGATCATTGTAAATCAGGTTAGAACTGCTAGTGCCTCCAGGTAAGACTACTGACTGAAGGTAATTTGTATCAGTAACAGTAACACCAGTAGTACATTGTACTTGGTAGCAGTTACCTAATAATAAAATACCAGTAAATATACAAGTACAAAGTTGCAATTGTTGTTTACCTGTTGGAGGAATCATGAAGATGTGCCTTAATAAAGAGAGAGAGAGAAAGAGGAGGAGGAGGAAAGCAATAAGAGACAGAGCTGCTGGCAGTTTAGATGTCTTCTCTCCTGATGTAGTACTGCCTGACTTGCTGTCTACTGCAGCTTTGAATGAGTGAGAGTTGCGGCCATTAGCTGGTCTACTGGAGGCAGCTTGACAGTAGTTCCACAGTCCAATACTTGCTCTCCATTGAGAGACATCAATCATCTTGTATAGTTATACTGGATTATTTGTCACTAATGGTAAAGAGTACAATAGAAGTGAGTGTATGTGTACCTGAACTATCATTGAACTGTATTCATGGATCATTAACACTTTGCTATGAGAAGTGTCTTATCAGCACATAGTGATTGGTACCACTCCTCTACTACATTCAGTTAGTATTGTCACTACTGATAGTAGAATCTATTTTGACTAAATTTGGTCATTTTACAGATCTAAAGCTAATGGTTTATGGTTGAGCAGATCATAAAATTTACTGCAAAATATATAATTACAAATTGAACTCACATTTGAATTAATATCAGGTACTAACAATAGTGAGGATTAACAATAGACATCAATCATCTTGTAATTAGTAAAGCATAATTAAAATGAACTATAATATACTTACCTCTATCACTGTTAATGATCAACTGTTGTAAAATAAAGAAATGAAAAGATACAGTCAATATAAAGAAGAACAAGTTACAAGCCAATTGTGTTGAAGTTGCAAGCTCCTCCTTCCTTATCAAAACCGCATCCACTTATCACAGGTCAATTTTCTCTGCTTTGTTTCTTTACCTACTTTCAACTTATTGTTGATGTAAAAGTTACTAATTTTAATGCTAGCTATACAGCTTAGAAATAGTAATAGGAATTCATTTATGCATAATAAAATCAAACAGCTGAAATTTTCAAAAAATAATCAAGTAATAATAATAACAACAACAACAACAACAACAACAACAACAACAGTAATAATAATAATAATAATAATAATAATAATAAGTCAAGCACTATATATTAGTCACAGCCAGCACTCTCTCCCTCTCCTCCAATATTCCAATCAGTCGCTGGAAGTGGCAGCTGCTACTGAGGCACTCACTCCGGCTCTAACTGCTCCTTTGGTTGCGTCTCTCACATATTTGCTACCAGCAGCACCTTTGGCAGCCTCAGCAGCTGCTTTATCTAATGTACCGCCAGACAGATGATAATAACAATGAATCTAAAATAATAATAATAAATACAATTAATTTAATTAATATAATTAGTCTCTACTAATTATTAGTGTTTTTGTTAATTAATGTATGGTGTACTAACGAGGAATATCATGATGGCTGCCCAGGGTACTAATAATAGCCAGAGGAAGGAGAGAGCTATATACATACCACTGATTGGTTTACTGGCCTTGATAACATTAGCACCTGAAATAATACTACTAGTCTAGAGGGGGAGGAGAATCTGTGTATACAACCAATTAAGCAATTACTGTGTTAAAGAGACCGTTATGCAATAAAAATAATACCTAACATCCTTTAGGATCATGAACCTGTACATGATGAAGAACACACAATAGTCATCAGAAGGTGTGATGGTTGTAAAACCAGATGAAAGGACCCACAGAAACCTAATCTAATAAAGCCTTAAGGAAGATGCTAATTATTTAATCAAGCATGTACATGCATAATAGCTTTAATTACAATTCAAACGCTCATCCCATAGCCTGTTCAAAGGCCAGCTGCTGAAGTAATGATCTCAAAAGATACAAAACCATATCAACCCTATTACTATTAGTCACATTAGTGTAACCATGACAACAAGCAGAGGCGTATTTAGAGGTGGGGCTGAGGAACTTGAGCACCCCCTCATGGCTGGGCTCAGAAAAAAAATTACTGAAGTCCTGGACTCTTGCATCACTACCAAGCCTCTTAACAAAGTTATCTAGCCCCCTGATCATGATTTCAGAAGTTTCCAGTGCTTTAAGGAGCAATCAAAAGTACCAGTAACATGGATGTATGTTTGAAATGATCTTGGCACCACCTGTAATTGATGAAAATGCAGAAAAAGGCCGTTTACTGCCGTAAAAGTGGGTGTGGTCAAAATTACGGCACACTTCGCACACCCTCAGCACTCTCCTATCTAAATTCCTAGATACGCTCCTGCAAAAGAAAAAGATGTAAAAATAATGTAAAAGATGTAATGATTAATGTAATGATGTAAGATGCAAAAGATGTGAAAGAGAGTGCCCTCCTCCACTGTAATAAGATAGCCTATTCTCATGGTGCAGCAGTTTTAGTACACTAGATTTAATCACACCCACACAAACCACCTCAAGGTATATACACATGTACTACATGTAAGCAGCAGCAGCAATAAATGTACATACATATATTGCTGGAGGCATCACATCTCCCCCTCCCTCACACACACACACACGTACATGTATGTGTATTCAATTGTTTAATAAGCTTAACTGGCATTTATCTGAAGAGAATAGTAAGAGAAAAGAGCAATTACACATAGAATGTACCGTATACAGGAACAAGGTTATTGGTACATATATGTACATGTACATGTACCAGTAAGAGAGAGAGAGAGAGGGAGGGAAAGAGGGGCGAGGGAGAGAGAGAGAGGATGGTGGGAAAGAGTCTTTTTCTTATAATTATTATTCATCAGTTGCAAGGCCGGTCGCTGTGGTGATACAACTGACAGTAGAATTTCTAAAGTTTTGCTCATAATCCAATTAAGTTATTATTGAATTAGCAAGTTATTATACATTACTATGAACCTCTTCCTTCTCCCTTTCTCTCTCCCTCTCTCTCTTTCTCTCTCTCCCTCCCTCCCTCTCTCCTTCTCCTCACTGGTTCTGTTATTCCTTTATTGTCAGCTGCCCCAAGTGAATCTCCTTCTCTCCATCCAAACTTTTTTAACATTTGATGTCCTTTATTACTAGAACTAAAGGGGCTGGAGAGAGAGGGGGAGAGAGAGAGAGAGAAGGGGAGTATAATGTAATGGAGTACTATAATTAAAATCTCAGACATACAATGTACATGTAAATAAATAGTGGGAAAAAGAAAAAAGAGAGACAAGAGCGAGGGGGAGAGAAAGGGAGACAGGGGGAGAGATACAACAAAAAGGAACAATATTTAAATGATACAATATAAGTATGAGAAGTGGCAAAGGATAAAGAGAATGACTAGTGTAGGAGAGGGTAAATCATTACAAGATTTAAACGTAACAGCTGCATAGAAGAGAGATACCACTCCACAGTGTACTATCAGAACATATGGCTTACTTCTACAGTATAATCATTATTAGTACTTTTTATGAGGAAATAATTAACCAACAGTTGTGTAATGAAATAAGACACCTTTATAATGAGGACATTTTGTAATGTCCCAATTAGTACAAGCCTATACAAAAGTACCTCTGAAATAAGGATACCTCTGAAATAAGGACACCTCTGAAATAAGGACACCTCTGTATTAAGGACAGGGCCTTATAATAAAGAGGATACAGGTACATGTACAGCATGTTATGTGTGTGCATGTAGATGTAGCTGTCTCTTGTGGATGTGTGTCTTATCCAGTCATTATATTATAATTTTATGGTTTTTGTCTTTAATTGGATTAACTGCCACAATTTGTACTAGCCATATAACAGGATTAGGAGACGCTATTAAGGAACTGACTCAGACACCATAAAATAATGGTAAGGGAGAGAGAGGGAGGGAGAGAGGGGAAGTGGTAGAGCATAGCAGATATTGAATAACATGAGAACAACAAAGAGAGTAGGAGACTGCCATTAGTGATCCAATCAGTAAATTAATATCTAAACTCACTGACCGTAGTTGGACAAAGATATGATAACATTAAATAAAACAAAAGTAACAAAATACAGGAAATAATAACATACATGTATAAAGGTGACGCGTGACCATCAGGTCTAATTAAATTAGTTATTATTATTTTAATAGAATGCCATCAGTCCTAATGTGTACATACATGTACAAGAGGAGGGGGAGAAACCTCATGTATTCACTGGAAACCCACAAACTGTACATAATGTACACAAGCTAATAATGTAATACAGACTAGCCTCTATATAATGGACACTGTGTCTCTGTTATATTGAGGTGTCCTTTATGTGGAGGTTATTTTATACAGTAAGGAATGTGATTGGTACACTAGGTACTGTCCGTTAAATGGAGGTGTACGCTATAGAGAGTGTCCATTAAGAGAGGCTATACTGTACATGTAGAATGCATATTATGAAATACAATCTTTCTTACTCATTCACTGTTGATGGACTATCGTCTCTAATAGCTGATTGTGGTAGTTCAACACCATACCTCTTCCTCCTACATTATAAACAAAGAGTGAGAGGGAGGGAGAGGGAGAGAGAGAGAGGAGAGGGAGGGAGGGAGGGAAAGGGAGAAAGAGAGAGAAAGAGGGAGGATATACATGTACATGTACATGTACATATACATACCTAGCAGGTGCATTGTCAGTGTAATTCTCCGGTAACTTGTAAGACTCATCTCCAAAAGAATCCTTCAACTAAGCAATAAAAGAATAAAGATACATTTTAACATTAAATATCTCTCTATCTATTCTTCCATACTGCCATATTATACAATTACTATGGAATGTATCTCCCCTCCCTCTCTCTCTCTTCATTATACCCTCAGTCCATATTTCTTTTTCAGTTTATTGAGTCCTTTCCTTCGCTGCATCTCCAGAGACTCATTGTTGCTAGCTCCGCCCCCATCAGCCGCCCCCACAACACTGATACCCATAGAGGAGCACTCACCGCAGGAGGCCATACCATGATGAATGTGTAACAGGAAAGAACTACCACCAATCTTTAGATAGTCACCGTGCTGGAGTAAGTAAGCCTTGCTCGCTTCTTTAGGCTATGGATTAGAAGAGAGAGGGAGAGAGAGAGGGGGGGGGAGAGAGAGGGAGGGAGGGAGAGAGAGAGGGGGAGAGTGAGAGAAAGTTGCTCAAAAATTGGACCAAAGCCCCTGTACTACATGTAGTACAGGGTTACCAGCTAAAATTTGGCAAAAATGAAAACGAGAGAATTCTCAATTTTTATTACATTTTCTGATACATATACACGGTCTTATGTTGTGTATCAACTTTGAGCTGATTCCAATCAAATTTGGATTTTTAATGAATTTAAAAAGTTATTCAAAAATTAGGCCAAAAACCATGGTATAGCCTTTGCTCTTTTTCAGAATTAAAATGGCCATAACTTAAAAAATTAAAGTCAGAATTGGCTCAAACTTTCTACACAGCATAAGGACATCAATATTCATCAGAACATGTTATAAAAAGTTGGGGCGATTTCGGAGCCATTTTTTGGAAAAAACCATGGGCTATAGCTAGCCTTGGGTCTTCGGTCAAATTTTGCCAAAAATGAAAAGAGAGAAATCTTTATTTTTATTATATTTCCTGATACACATACATGTTCTTATGTTGTGTAGAAAGTTTGAGCTGATTCTGATTAAATTTAGATTTTTTATGAACATTTAAAGTTGTACCAAATGCGATGTACTGTATTGTAGTGCTTGTCAGCTCATGAAGCTCATGCTGTTTAGCTCACTTAGCATGATTTGTGGGAAACCCTGGGTACATACACTAGGTGCTGTCTATTAAATGGAGGTGTACACTATAAAGAGAGTGTCCATTAAGAGAGGCTATACTGACTGTAATTATATCAAAGAATATGTACAGATACATTTGAACATGTAAGGTTAGGATTGGTTACAATAATAAATACTTATACAAAACATCTGAAGAGATAAACAGAGAAAGAGAGAGAGAGAGAGAGAGGGGGGGGGGGGAAATACAGACACTCTCAGACAGGTCTGTGGTGAATAAAGACACTAATAAATTAAGAAAAAAAGAATCAACAGCTGCTAATGTATCAATCACTCCACAGGAAGTGGCCATTAAACTTTAAACACAGAGTGAGGTGAGCACTTCATCTTAAGATCACTTTTAAATAGTGTACACCTCAAGTTATATTGTCCACATTACATATTGTTTCTAGATCATTCTCTTGTAATATGAGACCAATCCAGAACTATCTCTATGTAGCAGCTGCTATAATTACAATTACTATACTTTATTAATACATTTATAATGTACTAACATTAAAAATGACACATTTCCTATATTACATATACTACAAGCACTATATTGTGGTCATATCTTTATGATGTTATGAGTTGTTATTGACCAGAGAAGTACATGTACATGTATACGTAAGACCTTGGGTCTAATTAATGGACAAGACTACAGGTACAGCTAATGGCAGCTGCTCCACTTTATGAAGACCGCCACTCAAAGGCCCCAACATACTACAAACATGTCTCTCCCTCTCTCCCTCTGGCAAAGAGGACACAAGCTGGTGACACGCCTTAGGGTACAAATACCTCCAGTCTAGACAATCCTGCCACTGCCGCCGCTGCATGAGGAGTAGGAATAATAGTGGAGGAGGACTGGCAGGGAATATGTCATAAAGTTCAAACTAGCAAACACGTGCAGAGTATAGGCACGTACATACATGTACATGTACATTATTATTAATTTAAGGAGTGTAGTGTATTCACAGGTCGTTAAACCTGATATATATCTAATGATGGTCTATGCTTTGGTTGTACATAGCAATACATGAGATACATGTAGACATATCACAAGATAATACAGTGTGTATGAGACTCCAGGAGTCATATCAAACAATGAGAGAGAGAGGGAGAGAGGGAAGGAAAATTAAGTCAATAATTTTAAAACCAGCCGGTAATGTGTGTGTGTGTGTGTGTGTGTGTGAGTAAAAGTCAAACTGTTAGCGAGTTCATTTAGACGAAATAAATGAATTAAATTTAATTAAACAATGAGACGAATCCAATTGATTGACTTAGGCAGCAGCAATGGATCACAACAATAAGACTTATTCTTAATTAATTAGAATATACGTCAAGAGGGCAATGCATTATAATTTGCCTGTACTTGCCAATGGAGATAAACATAAAAGGCTGCTGGTGTTGCTGTGTAAACTAGACACAGACCAATGAATTATAGTTTCATAATAACTGATTTAAATGAGAAGGATTTGTCCATAGCAGCTGTTTTAAAATGCTTTTTGAAGTGTTATAAGCATTTGAATAAAAATCCAATTTGAGAGGCAATGCAATGAAAAGTTAAATATTTTTCCAGCCTGATGTGTCACTACAATCTAAAACTGTTATACTGATCTAAAATTTATCTTACTTATCTTAGTTTATACAAGAAAACATGTAATATTATACAATCATGGTACTATGATCCAGCTGTGCATCAAATAAACTGCAGTGCCCTCTTGATGGTATTAATTCCAATATTTATGAATAAGTCTTATTAATATAGGATACAATGAAGACACCTTTATAATGTCTCAATTGGTACAAGCCTATACAAAAGTACCTCTGAAATGAGGACACCTCTGTATTAAGGACAGGTTGCATATAGTGTCATTGATGTACATGTAGGTGCCATTTTGACTGCCGCAGTCATTAACAACAAAAACTTGTCGTCTTTTCTGAAAAGAAATCTCACAATGGAGCTTACTAACTTTAATATCAATAACTGAGGACCAGGCACCTCTCTAGACCGAGGGAAAGAGAGAGAGAGAGGGAGAGATAGGAGGGGAGAGAGAGAGGTGTACAGGTGTGCAGGTACAGGGCAATCACACAAAAATGAGTGTTTGTCATTTTGTATATCAGTAATATATAAACATGTATGTTTACATGTACATGTATCACCAAGGGAACGCGGTAGACATCAAAGAAAAGATGAAAGGTCCGTGAATCTTTTCAAAAATGAAGAACATACTGAATAGTGTAGAATATCCAAAAAAGGATAAAACAAGAAAGAGAGAGAGAGAGAGAGCAACAGCAGGTGAACTTATTTGTGTGGAATGGATGAAATGTCACACTGATGATGATTGGGAAATGATCCCGTGAAAATCACAATACACTCAGTGACTATTAGAAACTAATCAGGACACGGACACAAAGGAACAACCACCCACGCACTAATAGACAAACTGGCCATGAATTTTAAAAATTTACGACAACAGAAATGATAGAGAAATTAATGTAATACAGACTAGCCTCTATATAATGGACACTGTGTCTCTGTTATACAGAGGTGCCTTTTATGTGGAGGTTATTTTATACAGTAAGGAATGTAATTCGTACACTAGGTGCTATCCGTTAAATGGAGGTGTATGCTATAGAGAATGTCCATTAAGAGAGGCTATACTGTACATGTACATGTATCTTCCTATGACGGCCCCTTCAGCTGTAATTAAACTGATGCATTTACGAGCATCTTGAGAACCAGCTAGTTCCAAGGCTCTGCCCACACTTGAAGAAGGGGCGGGGTCAAGTGGTATGAGACAAACACACGGAGGCCACTCACTCATTGGAGGAGGATGATCAGGCAATGAATCATCGTCTGAGGGGGAGGGGGTGGGGGGAAGTATGGGAATAAAAAGTCATTAAAATCCAATTAATGTAGTGAGAGATAAAAGGATCAGCTAATAGAATTAATAAACTAGAAGTAATGTAGAACATTAAGGGGCGAGCCTAAGCTAGCAAAGCAATGATAGCAATCATAGCACTGGATCTATCCATCTATGATCTACTCCTGATGATTTCAAAGCATGCATCATGATTTAGGCATAGCAAGCATGCATGTACATGATGAAACCTGAAGATGATAAAATCACTTCATATAATTTATTTTATTTAACTTTTAATCTTCTAGTTTCACATACACATTTCTTGCCTATAAATGTCTGTAAAGATGCTTTACTTAGCTTTAGATATAATATTATCCAATGTTAAGATGACTGAGAAAAAGCTTGATTGACTTTCACAGTTTTAATAGCAATTGCATCAATAAAGACGAGCTTCATAGGTTATTAATTGAATTTAAAACCTTTTATAGCTGCTGGAGAAGTCTTTGGACGGTGTATCTGCCTTATATTGCTGCTAGAAAGCTCGTGAATTCTTCCAGTGTGTTGGTTGCCATTTTTATTTTACTGTGACCGCTCCCACTTTCAATGAAAAATTGAAAATTGCATTGGTAATGCATAGTATCTGTCTACCGTATTAGATCTACGCATAAATAGGGGTGACGTACGTGGACAGACAGACAGAGTGAGGGACAGACAGGGCGTGACTGAGAGTATAGCTAGAGTGGGGCGAGCTCAGGCTCGCCCCAATTATTTCATACCACGTAACACACAAAACAAGTTAGATCATTAATGATAGAATTCAGGGGCGGATCTAGGATTGAATTTTTGGGGGGGGGCCCCCCCATAATTATATGGGTGGGGTAATTAGTGGGTGTGGTCAACTATGCCTGCAGGATTTCATTTGGGAAGTCAAAATTTTGAAGATTAGGCCTCTTAAATGAGCTCCTTTGTGGTTTACAGACTGTTTACACAATCAAGTACTGCAGCTGTTTCACAGTTTACATACATGTACATGTAGATAAAACTAATTTTATACTTGACCAGAAAAATTTTTGGGGGGCCTGCCCCCCCCTAGATCCGCCCCTGATAGAATTAATCAATCAAAAAACAACAATATAATAATAAAAATAAATACATACATGTATGTACATGTACATGTACAAAGGTGAGAGAGAGAGAGAGAGGTCTGAGAGGTGTATGCTATAGAGAGTGTCCATTAAGAGAGGCTATACTGTACATGTATTTTTATTATTACATTATTATTAATTTTTATTACATTTTCTGATACATATTGATGTCTTTATGCTGTGTAGAAAGTTTGAGCTAATTACGACTTAAATTTTTTTGGTTACGGCCATTTTAAGAATATAGCCCATGTTATTT